TACAGTTCATAGCTAAGTTTAGGCGACCCCATTGATAGAATTCATTAAAGAAAGCAAGAACATCTGGGGTTACTACACTCCAAAAGTTGTGAAAATTAACAATGGGGAGGCCATCTGGCCCTGGGGCTTGTCCTTGTCAAGGTCCATAACTGCCTTAGGAATTTCCTCTGCTGTGAATCATTTATATATGTGTATACATATATTATATAGTGTTACGGGACTCGCTCGAGCCGTCTTGGAAGTGGACTTAGGGCTAGTAACTCGGCCTGCCCTATGGGTAGGCAAAATTGCCATGAGTTGTGTATACAACTCAGGGTACATAAAAAAAATTCAAAAAATCCCAAAAAATGTAAAAATAGGGGATTGTTCTATAAATTTTTTATATGTAATTTGGAATTTTTTGCAAAGATTGGTGAGTTTTTTTAGCATAATCCCTAATTTTATATTTTATTTTAATACTTTTTAAAGCTTATTTGGTGTTTTCAAAGTTGTTTTTGGTTTTATTTAACTTTTATTAGCGTCATTTTATTTTATTTTTACTTTTTCTAATTTATCTAGGGCTTTTGGCCTTGTATAGGACATGACTAAGTAACTTGTCTTGGCCAAGGGTGGAGTCCCTTAACTGAGGGGAGTTCCTAATCATTGTATGTGTGTGTGTGGATGACACTTTACAAACACTTGAATGAATTTCTACAGCACCTCACTCATGGTTCATTAGCATCCAAAGTCCATAAGACGACCACGATTTTTATTGTTTTGAGGAAGTTAACTACTTGTATTGCTAAAAGAAGAAGTGTACATCAGTAACAGCCAAGAGTACCCACAGACCAGGTCTCTCGACCAAAAAATAGGCCACGTAGCAGTGGTCCTGTACAAAAAATGGAGGTCTTATAAGACACCCAATTACAGGACATAAACTATGCAAAATGGAGTGCTTATAAGATGCGCCCAATTACAAGAGAGAAACTGTACAAAAGAAACAAAGAGTGCACCTGCAGAGGTCCAGAGCAAAAAAGGAGATGGACTAGTAACAAATAAGATGACCACTACTATCCAATAGTATTTGAATTTCAATATTTTTTCTATGAATTCGATTTATCTAAAATTTGGGGTATGTGTACCTCTAACAAATTCGCACGAAAATAAAATATCATGATGTAATTATTGAAAAATAAAATGATAAAAATACCCCTAAAATATAACTACGGATAATTTGGTCATTTTTGTGGTTTGAATTTTTTTATATTTTGTTTACTTGTGCCTCATTGAGATGCACATACATACAAAATTTGATGTTAATCTAATAAATAAAAAATATTAAAATTCAAATACTGTTAGATAGTCATGACCGTCTAATGGACTTTAGACGATGATGAACCTTGAGTGAAATATTTTAGAAGTTCACTCATGAGTGCCTTTTTCATTTTCATATATATATATATATATATATATATATAAGGAGCATTGTAAGCTTGTTTTCCTATGAGCCTCCTGACCTATAGAACACTGTAGGCTCGATGGCCTAATTTGAAGGAGAGGAGGCGATCTGGATGGCCTGCATTCATCGATTATGGGAAGCATTTTTGGTTCATATCCATTACTTCTAATTTTATGTGGAGCAAGGCATACATGGGCACATGTCTCTATGGCTTTTTGCGTGTCTCAACACACTAAGGATACGACATCCGTATTTGATGCTTTAGAAACTTCTACCTTTGTTCATGAAATCTTGCTATAGAAGTACTAATGTTGCATAAAATTCACCTCCCCTCTCTTTAGATGGTGTGGTGTGTTGTGTTGTGTCTAAAAGGGCAAATTTAGGGCTGGTTTTTCTAACACTCATAGTCTAGTCAGAAGTTGATGCACATGTCAGTGCTTTTGCATCATAGGATACATGTATGCGAAGTTTAGTGTCCATTAAACTCCTGTTTCGTCATAAAAAAAAAAAATTCAATATGTGATGCTGGCCTTCAATTTCCATGGCTTCAATCTGGCCATTAGATGTGTCTATACAGTCTAGTCCGAAGTTGACACATATCAATGCCTTTGTATCATAGCATACATGTGTGAGAAATAATGCTAGCCATTTGTTTCCGGAGCTTCAATCTGGGCCATTAGAGATGTGTGTGTATCTTGTTTCAATATATAATATTTCAAATTTCAAGTGTGCGTTGCAACTATTTTTTTTTGTTTTTTAACTCTTCCTTGGTCGGCCCCTTGCCGAACATGCTGGTCCCAAGCCTGCGTAACGGAGGAGGGTTGTGTTAGTTAGGCATCTGGTGTAAAACTTTGCTTCAACTTTTTATGAATCCTGAATCTATGTTTTTTGCTCATGTTAAGGCGTTCCTCATGAGCAACACGTTGTATCGGACGAGCAAAGTAAACTATTCAACAAGGTGTTAAGAAGAAAGAAAATACCAGACGTATAAAGGAAAAGTACTGTAGTACCTATTTATAAACGAAGGAGACATACAATATTGTGCAAACTATCAAGGATCAAACTTATGAGCCACACTATGAAACTGTGGGAGAGAATGATTGAGCAATAACTGAGGCATGAAGCGAATATATCAAAAAATCAATTCGGTTTTATGCCAGCAATGTCAACAATTGAAGCTATTTTCCTACATAAGCAATTGATTGAGAAGTTCATGGAGAAGGGAAAAGACCTCCACATGGTCTTTATTGATTCAGAGAAAGCTTACAATATGGTACCTAGAGATCTAATTTGGTGGGTGTTGGAAAAAAAAGGAGTCTCTAGATTCTATGTTGGCATGGTGAGAGGTATGTACGAGGGAGCGCCACCTAGTTTGCAGACAACTAGTGGAAAGACAAGTAAGTTTTCAGTGATAATAGGTATACATCACGGCTCTTCGTTGAGCCGATATCTCTTTTATTTTAGTTATGGAGGAGTTAACTAGGCCCAGTGTATGTTATTTGCAGATTACATAATTTTGATCGATGAGACTAAAAGCGGCGCCAACACAGTTAAAACTTTGAAGGGATGCTCTAGACTCTAAAGGTTTCAAAATTAGGCGCACTAAGACATAATATATGGAATGTAAGTTTAGTAATAATAAGAGTAGAAATGAAGAAGTAGTTAAGATTGATGGTCAAAAATATTAAAAAAAAGTATTCCAATATCTTGAGTTGATAATTTAGGAAAATAAAGATTGGAGAAGATGGTGCACATAGAATAGAGCTAGGTGGGCGAAGTGGAGATGTACAAACGAAGTTTTATGTGATTGCTGTATGCCAATGAATTTGAAGGGGAAGTTCTATAGGAATACTGTGAGACCAGCTTTGTTTTATGGTATAAAATGTTGGGAAGTCAAGAAACAACATACCCATAGGATGAGTGTAGCTGAGATGAGGTTGTTGAGATTGATGAATGGCCAGACAAGAAAGAATAGAATTCAAAATGAATACATTCGAGGGAACTTAGGTGTGGATTTAATAGGCAATAAGATGAGAGAAAGTAGACTTAGGCGGGCTGACCATGTACAATGTAGACCCAATACAACACTGGTTAGGAGGTGCGATTTAGTTCAAGAAGAAGGTTCTAAAAGGGCAAGGGAAAGGCTCAAAAAGATATGGATGGAAGTAGTGAGAAAAGATATGGGGACTTATGGTTTAAAGGTATGGCCCTTGATAGAGCAAAGTAGTAAAAGAGGATTCATGTGGTCGACCCCAAATAGTTGGGTTAAGGCTCCAATGATGGTGATGAAGTTGCAATTTTTTTTATTTTGTATATGGTCAATTTATGTCATTTTCTAAGGATATAAATGACCGTCTTGGGGTGATATAAAAGGACCCTTAGAAATTGTCAATTTATTTTGAGCGGTATAAGTATTTTGTAATGGTTTGCAGGGTATAAAATGGATGCTCCATTAATTTGACTGTTCTTTTGCTGGAGATTGCTTGGACATGTTCTATGGTGATCAACATCAAGAGCTTACACGTAATGTGAAAAACTTTGCTGTCTACACTGAGTGAAATGCTATAATGATTATAAAAAGGAGAAATAATTCTATTAAACATGCAAGTTTCCATAGTTACCATTTAATATTATATAGCTAAATGTTAAAAAATGAAATTCATACTACCAATACCATCAATTTACTGATTATTGAAGGATTTTAAAGGATTTATTTTTCTTTTTAAAGGATTTCTTTTTTTCCTTTTACCTTGCTAAAGAGGCACCAAAAATACATGTAAGCCCTGGATAATGATTACATCTGAAACTCTGGAAAGTTTTCCCATTTTGAGTTGTGGCACTTAGGAAAGACTGGGGTGTCGGTGTTTGCAATGTGATCTATTTAGACCAATGTGATATAGGGGTGGTGGGACGAATCTGGGTTATTAGGTAGTGGTTTTTCTAGTGATCAATTTCATCGTCACCAATCTTGTGGCAAGGGAACATATGTAATTACATGTTTTCTTTTAATTTGGGTGAAATAATAAGTTATCAGGCCAATTAATTTTTTAATAAATGCTGAAGTCATTAATGGGAGAAGTATATATTGGTAGGGAAGTTGCAGCATACACATCCTTTAAATGGTATTTCCTGTTTTGGATGCCTTCAAAATGTCTATTTGATTTCCTTTGTTTGTAGTCCTCCTTGGCACATGACTACAGATATGTAGAGGGCCCCGCCTTATAAGGGGCATGTTACAATCAAACACTGTATATTCCTGTGTTTTTTTGAAAGTTTGAGATATAAGAAAGCAAGTATTGTTTCTGCCATTTGAATAACATATGAAGTAATCCACATTGTTTTATGGTGGGCCTGATCATCTTTTGGAATGCAAGTTTTCTAGATTGATACCATGTTTTGATCTTAATTTCTGGTGTTTCATCTCTTGTTGCTGTGGATTTTTTCAATTTTTGTTCTCCATTTTACTTTTTTAGTTTTCTTTTGTTATTTGTAGTATCTGAAGTTGATTTTTCTTTGGCTGCAACATGCATGTGGGATCTTATTAGTGTTATGTTTATTGTAGAGGTCGGATAGTAGTGTGGCGGAGTTAGCAAAGGTCATGGTGGACACCAAGGGTATACCTGATATAATAGGTGTTTGCTCGTACATTTATTTATGGTTCTTTTTCTTAGTGTGATTGTTCCTCCCTTTTTTTTTTTTCTATCCTGTAGATGAATGTTTTTTTTTGACTAGCAAGTTATTGAACTGTAAGGCATAATGGCTTTTGGAACTTTTTTTGTGACCTTAATGACAATTACTCGTGAATGTTCTAACATGTATGGTACAAGTTGTATGATGAGACTATAGCGATATCTTCTTTGGATGCTTGGTGAATATTTTGGTGTTTGTGCTTCAAGATGAATGATATTGTTGATTGATCTATTGCTCTTTGTAAGCCAATTCTATTAATTTTTGTTTATAGTTTACTCTTAAAGTTTAAGCCACTTCATCTATTGTCCATCAAAATAATAACTATTTCTTACCAAAAAAAAAAAAGGTTTTCTATAATAGATAATGATAAGAGGAGTGTTCAACCAAGCTGCATGAAGAATGCAACCAAAAGAGGTACAAACTACAAAGGAGAAAGGTATCGAAAGGTCAGGTGGTAGAAAGGGGCTCCCTTATCTAAACAGAGTTTGTATATAATTATTTTTGTTTTATAATTGGAATATTTATGTCATGATCGTGAAGCTTGATGATCTTGTGTAGTTTTCAATACTGACTAATTTCTTATTATTCAAAAGAATGAAATTTGTGGAAAAAGTCACATTATTGAAAAGAATGAAATTTGTGGAAAAAGTAAGTGATTTAATCTATTCATGACTAATTGGAACAATAAGTATTGAAGGTTGTACTTACGTAGGTTCAGCAAGGACTTCAGATTTCAAATCTCTGAAATCCTAATGCTCTAAATTATTGAAGGGTTGATCTTTCGTTAGTATTTTTTTTAATTTACTTTTGCGGTATATGATTATGAAAATTAATTTTGAAGTCAAAATCTTTTGGTTATGATGTCCTGTCATTTTAAAGAATTTGGGATAGATGAATTTGTAAGCATTAAGATGTTTAACAAGTATGTAAATGTCTGATGACTGATGCTTCCATATTTAAGTTTTTATACTATAAATTTATATGGTTCATACAATTCAATACAATATGTAATGACATATGGCTGTATTAACCATTAATCATGAAATGGCTAAGCTGATTTGCTGCTTAACCGCTTGAAGGGAAAGCAAACCACACACAATGTGTCTCTGCTATATGGTACTCCGTTGGAGCATCCACCACCCGTTTTTGAATTAGGTTGGTGACTATTAATTGTAGTTCCTGAGTACTGGCATTTACATGGCATGTATGAATGATCTTGTTGTCTGTCGTTGAAGGCGAAAGATGGAGTCCCTGGCTTTGTACCATATTTCATAAACGAGTTGAGTGCTATAGTTTTTCAATATCAAATATTGTAGTAATATGCTCTAATAGAAATATGGATGTACGTGATATGTTTATTTACAGTTATGCTTTCTCCTGGTCATCCCTTAGTGATGGTACACTAGACCCCAACTGAAATTTATTGTTTTTGCCCAGTAAACAATGCTGGTACTATCAACAAAAACAACAAAATATGGGAAATTTCTTCGGAGGAGTTTGATGCTGTCCTTGATACTAATGTGAAAGGTACAGCCAACATATTACGTCACTTCTTGCCCTTTATGATACAAAACAAGAAAGGGCTCATTGTTAACTTATCCTCTGGTTGGGGAAGGTCTTCAGCTGCAGAGGTAATCAGTTCTGTCATGAATATTTCTTGTTTATTCAAAGACGCTCTTTGTGCTAAATTCTAATAAAAATGTAGAAAGAAAAGTGTTTTGAGGTTTGGAAATTACAAAAACCCTTTGATCCTATGGAAGGGATCACAAAAATCTAGTTAAATGGGCTCTAATAGACACTGTGTGTGCGTGCACGGTTGCATTTGGGAGGCTTCGAGAATCAAGCTTTGTGCATCTATGTCAGTGCATGAGGTGTCATGACACATCATGAGGCTTCAAATTAATGTTTGATTTTCAAGTCCCTTAGGCTTTTGTCTAGTGGAAAGGCATTTGGTTTCTTGAAAGTTTGCTGCAAAAGCTACCTTATACTCAGCTGCACTTTAAATTTGAGTTGCTGATGACCATCTTTTTAATTACGCAATGAAATCTCTCTTTTCTTAGATTTTATGACAACTTTTTTTTAATAAAATATATAATTTACTATAGCTTGCAAAGCTATAGAAAATAAATTATATAATTTACCAGATCTTGTTAAGAAGGGGCCGTCACTTGGTGTGATGGTAAAAAGCTCAGGTAGCCAGCGCAACAGCGCGGGTTCAAGTCCTGAGAGCGGACACTTTGTGCATAAATAGACAAAGGTTAGGACCATCTCCAGCTCACCCCTCCCGGAACTCTGCGTAGGCGGGACCAGCACCAGGTTATAGCTCTACTAGAGCTTGGTAAGGTTCATGTAAGCAAGGCTTTAAGTTGAAAAAAGAAAAGCTTTGTAATTTGTATCATACTTTTAATTGTCAGGTTGCGCCTTATTGTGCTTCGAAATGGGCTATTGAGGGTCTGACAGGTTCAGTAGCTAAGGAGCTGCCATTTGGATTGGCAGTTGTTGCACTTAATCCTGGTGTAATAAACACTGATATGCTTGCCTCTTGCTTTGGTTCTTCTGCCGCTGTATATCCATCTCCAGAATCATGGTAATTCCACCTTATCTTTTAGTTTTTTTTAATCATTTACTTGTTTATGTGGTTTCTAGTATTTGCATTCGGCTTTCGGGTACTTTGCTTGCCTTGGTATTTCTAGAGATTTTTCAGTTCAAAAATATCTGTGAATGTCTTAACTGATTATACTTAGCAAACAGTTATAATCAAGATATTAGTTATTGCAACTGTTACATTTTTTAGGAACCACGCCTGTTCATATAATCCAGACCAATCATATACATAGATGAATGGTCTGATTGCACATATGGGTGTTGTTACTAAAAAGTAGGTGTAAATCTTGACCAAGGAGAGAGATACCTCTGTATAAAGGAGTCCCATGTAAATAAAAGACATGGTTACATTGAATGAAAGAGACCTTTATATCTTAAGAGTCTCCTAAAATACAAATCGTATATATGGAAATTTGTCAAAATGCATTTAAGAGATGATAATTTTTTACCAATTTCTTTTGATTTAATTTCAAAAAGCCCATTAAAATACACATGATCATCAGCTGGAATAGTTGGAAATGGGTAAGATGTTAAATAGTTATTAAATAATTTTGAGACACCTTGGCCCTTTTGTGATGCTCTCTATCTTCAAGTTAGAATATCCTATCATAAAAATATGCCATATTTCAACAAACTTCTCTCTTTTGCTTCTTTGTTAAGTTGTTTGAGGGAAATTCCATTCATAATCAACACACTCACCTAAAAAATAAATAAATAGAAAAACAGATGCAAATTTTGGATGAACCTGAAGCGATGGTAGGCCATCTCCATAACGTTCCCTTTTCTTACTCTAAATGTCTTAAACTGTTATCATCCAACTGCTACTGTTATTGATTTGTTTTCCTGAATATCTTTCTATTATCACATATGCATTGTTCTGGATATCCTTGTGTAAAAATGTTATGCTTGGTAATTTCTAATTCTTTCTCATGTTTCCCCTGAATAATTTGTGAAAAAGAGCTGACTTGGGTCTTCTCCTTATTTCATCAGGGCTCCAAATGCTACTACTTTGATACTAGGTCTTACTGCACAAGATAATGGTGCATCTCTTACAGTCTGATATCCGGGGCCCACAACAAAAAAAAAAAAAAGGAAGAAGAAAAAACGAATATTTGAAGTAGCATGGACTGTATTTCTATGTATATTTAGGTGTACATTTTCTATTGATGATCACAAGTTGGATGATATCTTTGAATTCTAAAAATGAACTATCCCTTTCGATTCCATTCTCAAAATGAACTATCCCCTTCGATTCCATGAATGCATGGAGTGTTCATGTTAAGGGGATCGGATACCATATACCTGTGGTATATATTGTACACCATAGGGTATTCCATGATCCTCACTGCGTCTAAGCTAGATCTAGACCCAGGATGGATCTGGGTTGAATGGATTGGGACCTGACCTGTTAGACTATAATGCCTATGGGCGAAAATGAACAGTATTTTCGTCGATAGGCTCAGTGCAGTTTGATTTTTTTCAGATTGTGGATAAAAAGATTGCCACTGAGGCTTTTTCACGTAAAAAAACACGGGATCCCACAAAGATTGTTGTAGGGCCGTTGCGGTTTTTCAATACAAACCGCAATAGATATGCTATGTTTGTTGTGGGGTTAAATGCTATTCAAATTCACGCTATTAAGATTTTTCCTATATAAATATATATGTATGACTTGGACCTCGACCCGGCTCTGGTTGGGTCCCGATCAGGTGACCTTTGCCCAATAATCGGGCTCCATGGGGCCTGTCCAACCTGCCCTGTTTCCCACCCCTATTCCATGGTCGACCAATCTGGACATCCTTCTGGCCTGCGTTAACACAGACCGAATATCACCTTACTAATTACCCCTATACCAATATTGCTGGTAACTTTGGTCGGTGTGGCAAATCTTTTAGTTCTTATGGATTTTCATCGTTTATTGAGAAAAGCCGTTGATGTGACCATCTAAAGAAAGATTATCATCTCTTATTTATTTTTTGTGATCTTATAATTATCAATTGTTTTGTGTTTTGCCTGTAAGTATAATATGATCCCTCTCTCTAGTCTTGTTAAAGAATTTGAAGCCTGGCTTTATAAAAAGCACTTGATGTGACCATCTAAGGAAAGATTATCATCTCTTATTTATTTTTTGTGATCTTATAATGATCAATTGTTTTGTGTGTTACCTGCAAGTATAATATGATCCCTCTCTCTAGTTTTGTTAAAGAATTTGAAGCCTGGCTTTATGCTAAGAAAAAAAAAAAAAAATTGTGTAAGATATCTTGCATGCAGTTTCTTCGTGTTATATTCAAATATCTTGACATGCACTTTCTTTGCTTTTAATGCATTGTTTTGAGATTATTTTTCCAGACTACTGATTTTACGCGTGGATAGATTTCTTGGCCAAAAAAATAAAGGAGAGAGAGAGAGAGAGAGAGATTTTGCCCATACGTAGGATAATTGTGTAAGAGAAGGATTTTATATCTATCATTTGGTCTTCATAGACACAAAGTGGAGCATACGGAGAGCATACTATATGCTCAGTCGCTAGGCGAGATTTATTTTTCAAACCAAATTTCAGGATATGCTTAAGAACGAGATGATTACTTTCAAGAAAAAATTGGATATGGTTATTACGAGGATACATACTTCCTTAATTACATTTAAATTAGGGTGAACCTAATATATGTAATTTCTCAATTTTCTTATGTCTTTTATTTTAAAAAACAACAAATCCATGTGGGTATGCGACAAATTATGTTTACTTAGGATACATAATTACATTTAAATTAGGCTAAGAACCCAATATATAAAATTCATGATGGAGTACAAAAAATTAGGGTTAATTCTAAGGATTCATTCCTCATTAGGAAACTTCCCCAATTACATTTAAATCAATTTTCTTATGTTTTTTTTTTTTGTAAAAACAAAGAAGCCCAAGTGGATATGGGATGTACAAACTATGGTTAATTATAAAGATACTTTACTAATTGCATTTAAATAAATTAGGGCTATAAATTTGTTTTTGGCTATAAAAATTAGCGTTAATATTAGGATGCATCCCTAATTTTGATACTTTCCTAATTACATTTAAATTAGGGCTAAGAAACTAATATGATATTTATGTTGGTCATAATAATATGTGAATATCTTCTAATTTAAAATGGAGTCCCTTATTTCTAATTTAACCATGATTTCTACGTACTTACACCATCTGTCGAAGTCTATATCTCTTGTATGTCTCTTCTTCCTCTCTTTCTATTCTTCAATCTCTCTCTCTAACTGCAGTCTTTTTCTATATTGCAGTTCACTTTTTATTTCATTTATTTATTTTTATTTTTTAGATTTTCTCTTTCATTTATTTCTCCATAATTGTTTTTTCAATTTTTATTATGCTTTTTCTTCAAAAATAACAAGAAAAGCACTACACCTACGTTCTTTTCTTTCTCAATTTTTTTTCTATTTTACATATTCTTTTTCTTAAAAACAAATTAAAATACCACCTGCGATATCTTTACAATTAATTTTATGCAGATTAGTTTCCTAAAATCTAGTAGATTATCTTGTTTTTTGACATCTATATCTCCTAATTTAACTCTCTCTCTATATATTCCTGTCTTAGAATCTATAACTGTAAGTCTTAGAACGTCATTCTCTTGACGTTTTGCATCTCTTTATCGATTATCTTCTCTCTCCTCTTCTTTCTTCCTTAAACTCTCTGTTGTAGCTGGTGCTTCTTCTCTCCCTCTCTCTATCTTCATTACGCAACAATTTACAATGGGATCCAACAGCAACATCAATTACATCCTTTCAATGAGGGTAGACAGAGTGCCCAACTCAGCGCATCTCCATCGGAACATGAACTTCAATTTTACTGTTACTGAGTGGATGGATGTGAGCAATATGATGGGGAGCGAAGAAATCCCTTCACGAAATTTGATTAGTGTCCGTGGCTTGGCCACTGCAGCCGCTTCCAACCGAGAACTACAAACCATGGATATCGCAAATTGCTTTGTCTGGGAGAAGTTGCAGGAGGCACAAGCACCATGGCAGATCATTCCGAGCCTCTGTTCGGAAATCGCCAATCGTGTGTGTGTCGAGGCTCGCTGCTGTGGCTCCCATGGGCTGGAACTGAATGTGTTTGTGGATTTTAGTAATGAAGAGATAGAACCAGTTGAAAGTGATTTCCATGAAGTAGAAATTGAAAATGAGGCCACCGAACAGGAGGGAGATGTTATCGGCCAAACATATGATCCAGAATTTCTTAGAGTGCTTGAGGCCTCATCACAGGAGGATTGTCCTTCAAGACCAGCAGCTAAGATGGCAATAGAGTCCTTAGCGACGGCGGTTCTCGGGGTAGATGAAGAAGTTCTTTGCATTATCTGCCTGTCGAATATCAATAGTTGTTATGGTGATGCGACGGTGCTGCCCTGCTCTCACATATACCATAAGAATTGCATATTCACGTGGTTCGAGCTGAGAAATTCTTGTCCGGTATGCCGATACCAATTCCCTTGTGAGTGACCCAGAAAAGACCATAGAGTAGAGTGTTAAAACAATTTCTAATCATCCAATTCTTTGATCTCTGTGTTTTTTGGATCAGTCATGGAATCTCTGTGTTTTTTGGATCAATCATGGAGTCCCAAGATTGCACTATGATTTTCTGATAAAAAAGGAGAAAATAAAAATTGTCTTCTATTGGTTACGATTTGAATTTTGGGCTTAGCTTTAAAGATGCAGAATCACAATGAAATGGGTTTTTTAGACTAAGGTTGCGAGAGAAGATATAAAAAAAGTTGGAAAAAGTTTGGATTGATGCATTTAGAGGGAATTGAGTCCCTTTTTTTAACCTCATTGTTGCCTGGAGAAAGACAGATTTGTTGATGGAAAGAGTGCCGCATTGGTTGTTCATGTAGCTAGATAGAAATTGTAGGAGCTGTTTGTGGAGGTGCATATAAAAAAGTATTGGGTCGACGGTGCATCGAAATCCACTGGTTTTAGAAAGAGAGCGCATCGAAATCCATTTTTTTTGGTTTATTTGTTCGTTCTATGTCTTCAATTACAAAAATAAAAACCCCACGCTTACTTTCTTCCATCCTCAATTTTTTTCTATTTTTAATGTTTTTTTCCTTCAAAAATATAAAAATAACAGCTGCACATGGTATCTTTACGTTTAAATTTGTCCAATTAGTTTTCCTTAAATCTAATAGTTTATCTTTCTTTTTTTTTTTTGAAGCGATTCATGGAGAGCATACGGAATGCTTAATCTCATGGGTGATGTTAAGATTTATTTTTTAATCTGAAAGTTTGCGATTTGCTGAAGAACAACATGAATAATTTAAAAAAAAAAAAAAAAAAATTGTGTTTTTAAACAATTAGATTAGATTGTCCGAAAATTCACGATCTTTGTTCAATTGTAGGACATTATTTTTCCGACATACTTCATGCATTTTTTATTATTTTTTTCTTTGGAGGTTGGTCTCTAAGTCAACGAGATTATATCCCAAAATTTGGAGGCCTAATCATACTCTTTAAAGTGCACCTCTAAAATCTTTGGGAAAAAGTAATTTTAGCGTTGAATCTAATTGATCATCTCGAATCAAAACGTATAGATATGGAGAAAAAAAGAGATTGATACCTTCTTCTTGGTTTCTTCTTCCATAACTCGAGCTCGGAGAAGGAAGAGATAAAAGGGCCCTATAGAGAATGTGGTAATAAATCCATAATAGCGTCGGACCACAATGACCGAATTTATTATCTTTATGTATAAGGATAATAGATTATCTTGTAGAAAAGATTTCAAAATATGGAGAAACCCCCTTTCTTTTTTTTCGGTTGCACTTTCTCGATTATTAGATGATGATTTTTTAAACTTTCCATATATAGAAAGAAATATTCCAAGTCTTAAAAATAGTACATCTTCCAACATATTATCTAAACTGTCTATTTTTTTTAAAAAAGTTGATCTTGAAAATATGAAAAGGGTAATTTGGTTATCTTTTAAAAATATTGACAAAATGTTGTACTTATTATCATCATCATCATTTCATATTTTTTCCAATTAATCGGGGTCGGCTACATGAATCCTGATTATTTATTTTGCTCCATTAAAGGTGATATCTTCAGAGATGGCATATTTTCGAAGTACTAATAAAATGTTGTACTAACGGATATAAAATCTATATAATAATAACGGAAAATTTTAGATAATATTTTGGACTGGGTCTGGATCCAAATCTTAGACTCGAACATTATTAGGGTACGGATCTCGGTCCGAAAATCTTTATATATATATATATATATATATATTTGGATCCCAATATATTAAAATATAATTAAATATATAAATATTTTAACTTTTTAATTGGCTTTGGTGAATTCGGATCAAGTTTGGGTCCGACCCATCTCATTGCCACCACTACCACAACACGACATCCTAAATTCCACTCCTACTACAGGGAGGAAACCTTTTCCTACTTACCATCTCAGAAACAAAAAAGAAATATTCAGACTAACAAAATAAACTAAAAAATATAAAAACTGCAAATAAACCGTTGATATAGTGAATCATTATTTATTATTAATAACACAATTTATTATTAGTAAATTATTTCCATCAAAGTGGGTGGTTACTAGGATTATTTTATTAACGATTAATTGATTGAAGTCTCTCTCTCTCTACACCTCCTCTTCCTCTTCATGGCCTTTTTAGTGAATTAAAAAGGTCATTGCCTACCCATCCTTGACTACCATTGCCACAATGCTATCTATGTCTATTGCTTCTAAATGGATTAAATAGCTCTTTGCAAACCCCGCTTTATCTATCAACTCAAAACTAAATTCCAAGCTATTAATGATGTAAAGATTTTTTGTTTGCGTATTTACTCCCTCAGTTAAAACTCATTTAAGAAAATCTTTTTGGAAAAATATACAATGAGATCATTTACCTTTGATACAAGGTGGTCATAATTAATCTTGACCACTAAATGTGAAAGTGGGTGGCTGCATTTATTATATTGACCAAACTCAAAGTTCAAAAAACATTTTTTCGAATTTTATGACATACCCAAGTTATATCCGATTTCACATGGAATGGTGGTAAGTAATTGTGACCTCCATGTGCTAAACGTAAATGGTCTCATTGTATACAATTCTTAGTTTTTTAACCTCGAAATATAGCCTCTAGACCCTACAAACTATGGTTAATTGTGACCTCCATGTGCAATGTGCAAAAGGTAAATGGTCTCATTGCATAGAAAACGTTGTCTTGGGAGTTTTTTGTAATTTTCCTTACAAACTATAGTTAATTATAAAGATACTTTCCTAATTGCATTTAAATTCGGGATATAAATTTGATTTTGGAAATAAAAATTAGGGTTAATATTAGTATGCATCCTAATTCATATACTTTTCTAATTACATTTAAATTAGGCCCAGGAAACTAATATGAGATTTAGGTTATAATAATTTGTGAAAATATGATAATTGTATTTAAATTTTTTATAGACTTAGTTTTCTTAAAATCTTTTTGGATATATTTTTTATCCACCTCAATCTCTTAATTTAAAATGGAGTCCATTGTTTCTAATTTTACAGTGATTGCTGCCTACTTATTCTCTTTCCAAGTCATATACTAATGCTGCTACAATTCTTGTCCGTCTCTTCTCCCTCTCTTTCTACTCTTCAATCTCTCTCTATAATTCTAGTCTTTTTCTATATTGCACGTCACGTTGTCTTTCATTTATTTATTTTTGATTTTTTCGATTTTTTCTTTCATTTATTTCTCCATACTTTTTTTTTTTTTACAATTTTTATTTTGTTTTTTCTTCAAAAATAAAAATAAAAGCACACCACTTACTTTATTTTCCTCTATTTTTTTCTATTTTAAATGTTAATTTTCTTCAAAAAATTAAAATACCACCTGCACATTGCACATATATATCTTTACATTTAAATTTACGCAGATTAGTTTCCTAAAATCATGTGGATTATCTATTTTAAACACTTTTATCTAGTAATTTAAAATGGACGGATTATAATCCGCTTATTATCTAAGTTTACATATCTATATCTATTTCACCTAGATTTCTTGGATTACCACTCTCTTCTTCACCTCATCTCTCTCTCTCTCTCTCTCTCTCTCTCTCTCTATCT